TTTTTTCGCATTAACAAAACTCACTTTTCATTGGCTCCGTTCGCGTTTTTGCGAATTCTTTTGATATCCTTTGGACCTTGCTTACTTTCTGTGTTATTTAATCTCTTATGTTATCAGTTGTACATTGTTTAATCCACGCTGTAGCTTATGCAGTTCATCGATTGGTTGTTAACCTAATCTTCGATTAATGACATCGAGTAATTAACACTAGAACTACCAAAATGGTCAAAACGATCATTTAAATATTTTTGTCAGGTATTTTAGATATCTTTAGATATTTTGGATATTTTTAGATGTAAAACAGTGTATTTTTGGAGACTCGAATGATTCTTTGTAGAATACATAAATAAAAGCTTGTGTGCCCTATTGTATTATAACGATTTCTCTTTATATTCTTTTAAATTCTCTTACATTCAACGTTCTCTAATGGAAATTTTATGCTTTAGTCGGTGGTTCTAGCGTCAACAACACAGAATAATTAATTTTATTTTTCATTCCAATTTTACTTACGAAATGAGAAATATAAAATAAAATAAACATCAGTTAATTTACATTTTTTGCAATCAAGTTACCAATAATCCAGCATTAAGAACCAAATCATCGAATTTGAAAAATCGTCGAAAGCTTCTCAGATGGACAAATAATATTTCTCCTGAATCAGTCTCCTGAATTACACACCGCCAGTCACTAAACAAAAAAAAAAAAAGTAAGAAGAGAACAAAATTTGAAAGTACATACGCGTATAATTTACCCTCCTCTGTCCACGCCGTAGCCAATGCCAACTCCGTACACGCGCGTCTAGCAGGAAAGTTTCGATCGGTTGATTTACGACGAGGTACATACATACATGCAAAAAGGATCGAAATCCAACAGAAAGAGAGTGAGAGAGAGAGAGAAAGAGAGATATCGATTCTTCTGATTCAAGAGAAAGAGAGAAAGAAAGAGGGACAAGGCAGGCGTCCACGAAATATTTCCAATCTCGAAGTTTCACGCGGAAAGTTGGCCGGTGTCGAGGCATCTTGCCTGCTCACCGTTTCACCCACTCCTTCGCTCCACTATGCTACTTACTACGTATGAATCTCCCTCCGACCAGTGGAATAACAAAGTTCTCCTTCAGCCCGCCTCGGAAACTTTGCAACAGTTTTATCATTTTTCCCCGAGCTTCCTCGCCTTCCTTTGTTCCCTTCTCTCTTTCTCTCTCTCTCTCTCTCTCTCTCTCTCTCTTTCTCTCTCTTCTTCGCCGTTTCTTTCCTCTGTTTCTTCTCTGCTGGTCGTTTCGTTGGCCATCGTTCGCACGTTCGAGTAGAAGAAGAAGAAAAAGAGAGGAAGGAAGAAATCGCGTGATTCAACAACGAGCGAGGGGGCGCCGCGGAATTGTTTCACGGAGGGGAGAGCGGGGGGGGGGCGGGAAGAAAAGGGTTGAAATAAAAAGGTCTGGAGGGAAGTTGGTAGAGTATTCGCGCTTGCCGATGCCTTTTTATTTTCGTCGCGCTACCCTACAGTCGAAAATTAAACGAACGCGTTATTTCTTTCCTTTCTCCGTTTTCCTCGTTTTCTCCCTTCTTTTTATTCTGTTTCTTCCTTTTCTCTTCTCTCTCGCTTTGTCCCCTTTTCCATTTTCCTCTCTCTTTTCTCGTTTCTTTTTTTTTTTTTTTTTTTTTCTTTCTTTCTCTATCTCTTACGCTAATTTCCTCCCTATCCCTAATTTCCCCCCATTTGTTCTAGCTACTCGTCCCTTCTTTCATCGTTTCTTTCTTTCGCTTACGTTCGCCAATGAAACGAAGCAATTCGCGAAACGGCGCGTACGTACGCGGAAAGAAAAAGCGGAAAAACTCAACGAAATAGAACCTCTAAACGTTACAAACACGACGCACAAAAATTGATTTACCTAACAACGAAAAGTTGCGGCCGAACTAAGCGCAGACGTTTCATTTTTTTTTTTCTTTTTTCCTTCTCCCCCCTTTTTTCTCCTAACGTTGTCTCTTCGAGCATCAACTGATCCTACGTTTTGAAGATCGCAAGTGAAAGTTACGATATTACGTCCATTTATGTTCATTTTTTTTAACTAATAAATAACATATGTATATATATATATATATAAAATTATAATTGTTGTTACTAACAATTGTAATAAGAAAACAGTCAATATCTTACAATTAATATTTTGCAACAGTGGAAAGAGACAGTGGGAAGCGCAGGCATGACTTTAACTCCGAAATCAACCGAAAGAATCAAGTTCGTGACATTTCGAATTTCATGAAAAACTGCACTTCCCAAACATCGATCATTTTTTTTTTCTTTTTTTTTTCACCTGCGATCCTCGCTAATTTTTCTTACACCTTCTCCAGTTTTTCGGATCCATCGCTACTTTGGCCGCCTAATCGTTCGTCACTCTCACTCTCACTAACGCATACGCACGATTTAGAATAATCTTGACTCTAATTAGTTAATTAGTTAAATATCACAATCTATGATAAGAAGTCCGTAAATATATATGCATAGATACACGCCACCGTGCTGGAAAAATCAGCACGGCGTCACGACGCAAATTAGAACCGACACAGTTTTATAAAAATAAATTGTCTCGGGGGGGTGGGGTGGGGTGTGTGTGTGTGTGTGTGTGGAAAAATGGTGAACGGTGGTTGCTGGTGAATAGTTTACCTACTGTACTTCGGGACAATGTGTACGGCCTTTGCTAAAACTCATCCGCCATCAACTCGACGAGAAAAGTCTCGTCGAATCTCCCCTATTTATATAAATTTTTGCAAAACACGTGTTTACAAACGAAAAGCTAAAAATTGCCTAAACGGAACTTTTTTTTTTTTGCTACGTGTGCTGCTATATCATTGCCTAACGCGAGACCGGTGAAATTTCCTTCCCGCCGGATTAAATGGAACACGCGAACGCGCGGACAATTTATTTTACGCGTCAAATTTTTCCATTTCTTTCTTTTTTTTTTTTCCTTGTTTTCTTCCTAAACGAAACTAGAAGTCCTGGCAATATTAAACGAAATCGCTTTATATAAACGATGTTACACAATGTACACGGTTGTGCAATAGAATTATACATGCGCACGAGAAACAGAGAGAAGCGGAGGGGACTAACCAAAAAGAAAAAAAAAAAAAATAAAGAGAACAACAAAAAAGAAGGTACACGAGAAGATGGAGAAAAGAAAAAATGTAGAAGAAACATCGACGACAGTACATGGTAAGATCGTAGGTAATACGTATAATATGTTGTATGTATATGTACACATAAAAATGTTGAAGAGATCGTGATCGATAAAAAAAATATATATATATATATGTATATGTATATATATGTATGTATATACTATGATCTATGTATGTACAAGACTGTATGTACGAGACCCTCTGTACGCGGACCGCAATTTAATTGGAAAATAAGTTGAAGTTCTACGCGCAAGACAGTTCGATGATCGGCCACTCTGTGTCACGACTAATTAACGATTTACAATTTCCTTAATAAATGTTTCGTATTTACAAGATGACAACTACGCCGTAAATGGTTGATCCAGTAAACTGCGTATTTACAAAAAAAAAAAAAAAAAAAGGAAAAACAAAAAAAACTGCTGGTGTTTTACACGTTTTGCACAAAAAATGCGTGTCACTCAGCGGCGTCTCTGAAAAGAAAGGAAATAAAGAACAAAAACGCTACTTATTTAACCCTTTCAGCTACTTCCTTCACTAAAAAAAAAAAAAAAAAAAAAAAAAAAAAACACTTTCGTCCTGTAAACGTCCTGTACAACGAAAAAGAAAAATTGCTTTCTTTCTCTTTATGTTTGTTAACCGGTCACGTGATCCATTATCCTACACACAAGCATACACACGGATTAATTGTCTAAGATTCGATGTCGTTTCATTCCACGTAACATCATCGCGTCGCTTCTCTCTTCGCTGAAAACCTCGACCTCTAACTTGCTCCGAGCACGCTCCGACATTTTTTTCAATCTCACATTGTTTCCTTTCTTTTTGCTTTTTCTATCATAGCTTCTCTCTATCTCTTTTCTGTTTTTTTTTTCTGTTTTTCTTTTTTCCGTTCGTTTTACGTTCGAACGGCTGCCATCAGGTGAAACTGCAGCAATCAGAAATGTATGTATACCGATATACACCGAGAGAGATCCGCAACGACTTTTAGTAAAAAATTCATTTTGTGGAAAAAGCAATTATATGTATATATATATCTCAGTCAATGTCCTCTAATGCCTACCTACTGCCAATGTAATACTTGATAATGGGGCTGGTGCCTCTATTGTTGCATCACTCGATTATTCGTACGCTTTTCCGCGAAAACTATAAATATCAAAACAGAAGCAACAACTTTGCGAACTAGACGTGCTATTTCTTTTTCCATCTGACCTTTCCGAAAGAACAGTTCATCAATGGAGATAATGATAATGTTCCAGGAATGTTTGTCAGCGATTTCATAAATTCGACGAATCGCTCTCTTCTTTATATATATATAAAAAAAAAAAAAAAGAAAAAAATAGGAAAGAATCTGAAATGTGCTTCTGTTTTCTCGTTCGCGAAAAACCCCCCGTTTTTTTTTTTTTTTTTTCGTTTTCTTTTATTTTTCAGTTGTATATCCTCTAAAGCGAGCGATCCAATAATACGATTAGCCTGCCTAGCAACCTCGATGGTGGTGTGCCGTTTTCAAACGAAACCATCATCCACCGGCAGAATAGAGACGACATTGCGATACAAAAAGAAAGGACCCGTTTAATCTGTGTGACTATCGTATATGTTTCTGCTCGAGATATCCTATCGTTCCGGCAGACAGAATGAAGCATGCAAAACACATACATCGCCATCGATTTCGATTTTTCCACGTACGACCGATTGCTCACGTGTTTTTCTTTTTTTTTTTTTCTTTTTTTTTTTTTTTTTTT